AAACACTCCAAAAAAATTCAATTTTTCTTAGGCAGACGATTTTATTGCATTTTCTTGCACAAAATACACCGAAAAGTGTAGAAAAAAATTGACCAAGTTTGTGCCTTATTGGTGAAAATGGCTAGTTTTTATAGGGGGGGACAGGATTTTGTGGACGGACATGAAAGAAACCGTAAGGGTTCGGTTTCTGTTCACTGCGTGAACGGATCCCAAAATAGAAAAATTTAAAAAACAAATAAACCATTAGATGTTACCTAGTTTTATTTCAAGCTAATAATATACATTTTATAAATACCAGACGAAAAAAAATGAATTTCACATATGTAACGCTTATTCCCTTGTCGATTGCAAAAGCTTAAGATCAACTTAAATAACGCACATCGCACTTTGGAATTTATTTTCTATTTTGAATTTCAAAGAAAAATTTTGATATTCCATAAAATTTAAGATTTAAAATATTGTTTATATAAAATTTGGAAAATTTCAAAGCCTTTCACTATTGACAATAATAATTAAATTTCCAAAAATAACGATTCAAATATTTACGTCTTTAAAAAAAAAAAATAAAAATAAAATGTACAATAAAAACCAATGTCTATTTTCTTTTTTTTTTGTAGCAAAAATTCCAAATAACAAATGCAACAAAAATAAATTAAATTGTAATTAATATAATATAATTTCTACATTAGAGATAAAAAAAAAGCGGGAAAAATATTTCAATTTCAAAACCATTTTCTTAAATAAATCATTGCATTTATAATAATTAGACTATTATACTTCTGAATTGAAGCTGGTGTTTCGCACAATATCGAGTTTTATAATAATAATAATATTTTTATATTCCACTCGAATTAATTGCGCGCTGGCAAGGCAGATGGTAATTGAATAAAATTGAAAATTAAGTTTTTCATTTTTCTAATTTGTTTTTGCACTCACAAAAAGTCATTTAAAAACCAAGCCAACATTTTTTTTTGTCCTGAGATTGTGGTTTTAACAGCACAATTATACCGATGACATGTTTTGTTTCGGTGTGTGCTTTCGTTAATTCGTAGGTTTTTTTTTTTATTATTTTTATGAGATTTTTCATTTAGCAATCCAAAAAGTTTCCAGCCATCAATAATTCAAGAGCTATTTCAGGAGCAATTGGAAATTCGGGAATTTCCGTGCTACTGTTCGTGTAGCGCACTTTATAGGTGAAGTACATACAAACTTTCTGCAGTACATGGGAACTGTAAAATTAATTTTAATTAATAATTTTAATTCTATTTCAATTAATTATTATTATTATTATTATATATTTTTATTTCATTATTTTTTCCCTGACATTCTCAAATTATATTTAAGTACGTATAATTCGTGACCTGTGAATGTTTACTTAAATAGAAGAAAAAAAAAGAATTAAAAATTACTTACGGAATTTCTCTAAAATTAACTTCATTGGCTTCGTTCTCAGCAAATTGTCCAGGACCACTTAACATGGCCTTAATCGTGCCACTTGTCAATGCATGTTCCCTCTTGACTATAAATTCGTGACCATCGCTGCTTACAAGTTTCACGTACATTGCGTCTGGTCCTTCACAGCCACCATAAACTGGACCCGATTCCTGTTAATTTATTTTTCAATTATTTCGTAACGTCAACAATATAATTGATGTTGACTTAATTTATTAAATCACAACCATTTGACCAACCAAAGCTAAAGGTATAATACACAAAAGAAATGCAAGTTAAGACCATCCGTTATATTATAGTATTCGACTAATTATTTCCACCAAAAAAAAAAAGAAATAAAAGAAAAAACAAATTTACGCATACAATAAAGAAAATTTTATTTATCCCATTTAATGAGAATGTAAAAATGTAATAAATTTTTTATTTCAATATTTAAAGTGAAATGAGAAACAATTAAAATTTATTTTTCATTAATTAATAACTAAATTTATATTAAAGATTAAATTTAAAAATCGAATATTAAAGATTAAATTTTAGAATCGAATATTAAAATTAAATTTTTTGAAATTTTCAGAAATATTTTTTAGTCGAATACTGTTGTTAGTTTATTTTTTCAAAGGATGTTTAAAATAGATGAGTCAAAGCTTCATCATTTGATTGGCAATGATAGGTACCACATGCAGGTCACTAGATGACGTGCTCCCTTCTTCCTCAGCTTTACCGTCGCTTTCTTCATCGTAAGCTGAATGCTTGGTATGAAAAAAGAGCCTTTCTGTTAATTAGTTTTAATAATTTAGAGAGATTATTAAATCTTTTTTTTTTTTAGCTAGGTATGAAATTCTGATGAAGTGATTATTGATTAGTAAAGGTACTGAAAAAGTTAGAGAGAAAAAGAGGCTTAAACAGCCTATTCTTTAAAGACAAAAAAAAGAAAGAAAAAAATTCTCTTAAAAAGAACATCAAATTTGCCCAAAAAAAGAACCATCATGCAAAAGTGCTTACATGCAAAATACAATATTAAAAAATAAAAAATTTTATACCTTCTCAGCTTGCATGTTCACGTCTGAAGACATCTTTTTGTATTTTTTTTTTTTTATTTAAGTTGTCCTAATAAAAGAAAGCAAAAATATTTAGCCTATTAATTAAAATTTTATTGCATATTATTTATATATATTTTTTTTTATCATTAAATATTTCTATTTTTTCTGTCTATTTAATTATATTTAAAATTTTCTATTAAAATTTTTAATAAAAATCAAAATTTAAATTAACTTAAGCCTTTAAAAATAAAATTTTAAAAAAAATAAAATTTTAATCCTTTACTATGAGACAATAATCAAAATCAACGTTAATGAGAGTCATTACTTGAAAATAAATTCTTAATAAAAGAAGTCATTTAAACTCTTATTTAGTTGCAAATATATTTTAAATTTACAATTTAAAAGCAATTATCAAACTATTGTTTTCTAATCTTTTCTAAATCTAGGCCTCGGTTCGACATTAAGGCACAAAGAAAGTTGTTTTAGTCGATTTATATTCTAAAAAAAAGTCGATTTTTTTTTATTTTAACAAAATTTAATTGGTTAATAAATATTTTACTGTAAATAACTAATGTCATTAGATATTAAATTCATTTTATTAATTTTGTAATGAAAAGAATTCTATAATGAATATTATCAAGAAAATTTATTTCGAATATTTTAGAATCGAACTAATTGTAAGACAAATTTTCAAAATTTTATTAAAGTAGGATAAATTTAAAAAAAAAAAAAAAAAAAATTTTATAGTTTCATTTTTTTAATTTTTTCGAATTAAAAATTTTGTCCTAGTTTTTAGTTTAGGTGGTCAAAAAAAAATTCAGACAATACTTAATCAAGTTTTACAGATTTTGAAATTTTTTTTAATAATAATTTTGGAAGAGTTAAAGTTGAAATTTTTAGAAATAATTGAATTTCAAAAGATTTTCATAATTTTCAAATAATAATTAAATTTTACAGATCTAAAAATAATTTATTAAATAATTTTAGATAAGATTTTTTAAAAGTAAAATTGAATTTTCAAAGATATACAATTTTAATTTTTGAAATTAATATTGAACTTCAAGTGATTTTTAATTAAAAATTTTTCATGATTTCTGTTAATAAAAAATTTATTAGAAATTGCAGACAAAAAATTTGAAAACTTTATAATTGAAAAATGCTTTCAGATAATTGAATTTCTCGAAGAATATTATAAAAATCATTTAAAATAATTGAATATCAGGAGAGTTTTAATTGAAATTATTAAATTTCAAAAAATTTCCGATGGAAAATTTTAGATGCTTTTAAATTGAAATTTTTTTGAAAATAATTTGAATTTCAAAAGATTGTGTTAAATTTCAGACAATAATTATAATAAGAGAAATTTCTAGTAATTTTTGTTGATGAAGAATTTATTAGAAATTACATAAAAAAAAAAATTGAATTCCAAAAGTTTTTAATTTCAAAAAATGCTTTTAGATAATTGAATTTTAGAAAGAATATTCTAAAAATCATTAAAAATAATTGAAATTTTTGTAAAATAATTAAATTTCAAGTGATTTTGAATTAAAAATTTTTGGTAATTTTATTTGCTAATTTTTTTTTTTTTTTTTTAATTATAAACAATTATTGAATTTCATAAAAATTTTAATTGAAAAATAGTTTAAGATAATTTAATTTGTGAAGAATTTCATTAAAATTATTAAAATTAATTAATTAGTGACGAATTTTAGTTAAAAATTTGTTAAATAATTGAAATAAAGAAGATCTGCATTGTATAATAAAAAAAAACGTATTTTGTTAAAAATTTTTATTAAAAAAAAAATGTAAAAAAAAAGTCGAAAAAGTCGCATTTTATTAAAATAAATCGAAAAAAAGTGTATTTTCGAAAAAAAGTTGTATAATTTGAAGCCTTTAAATCTTAATGTTAGTATATTTTCATCTCTAAACGAAATTATTAATTATATTTGAATAGAATAATATTCTTTTACTAAAACAATTTTTTTTTTTTTTAAATAACTGGTTTTCATTTATAAACAAACTTTAATAACGTTAAATATCAGTTAATTAACATTTTATAATGTGAAAAATCTTCTGAAACTGTCAAGTTAAAATTTCTTATTTATAATTGTTTTTCATTGGTTTAAAATATTGTTATTATTACTCATCAATTTTGAAAGACATATGTGAGGTTATGTTACATTGATGCTTTTCTCTCTGTATATATAAAACAATCAATTTTCGGAAAATAAACAAAATGCTTTACATTATGCCAAAATGATAAGAGAAAAACAGACTAAAAATGTTAAATTTTGTAATATTATAACAATATTAATGACATTGTAACAATAATGTTTGAAAGTAATCAATTTAGAAATTAAATAATATTCAATCAAAACCATTTTTCACACACACAATATATATATATCCATAAATTATCATCAAATTTTGAAATTGAATATAATCATTTTAAAGGTATTGACAAAGAAACTGATAAATAAAAATTTATTTACATACCTGAATATAATGCAGAGTAAAATAAATACGTTATTTTGTTTTGATGGTAAATTTGTTTAATTCCTTTTCTTTTTTTTTTTGTTTTTTTTTTGCAAATAACTTTATTTGCAGTTTTACTGCAATCAGCAATCACTGCAGTTGTAAATTTATGGTGCGAATGGTGGCAGAAAAATTAACAAATGCACTCACACTTGTCAGTTTTCCATTCTCGTCAGGGTTGAGAAGGTAGAAGAAAGTGCAGCTTATTTTTTTCTTTTTGGTGCATTTCTATGTGTGCAAAGTTGTGTAGTTATGAATAACTTCATTATGTACGTAATTTATCGTAAATTCTTCATTCTTTTGAGAAAATACAACACAACCCTGTATTTCTTTGTTTTTGTTGTTGTTTACATAATTATGAAATTTATAAAAATTTAAATTACATTATTATTAATTATTTTACTTTCTCATTCTTTTTATAAAAGGTTAAATATTTTATTTTCTATTGAATATTATAAACTTGATATTATTTTAAATGGATATTATTTATAGTGAAAAAAGTGTGGGAAAATTATAAATTGTATATATACATAACCTCTAAATCGTCTTCTGTCATTTTTAAATATGGAAACAATGAATACAGAGTAAGTTTTTATATAATATTTATAAGCTTTAAATTACATTATAGTGAAGGTATAAGCGTTATTAAGTTATCAAAATATCAGATTTTTAAATATATTTTTGTAAATGCTCCATAACCTTTTTTTTTAAATTTTAAGTCTTTTTTTTTAAATCGTGTATTTTTACGTGAACTTTTCGAAAATTTGTTGCAAAAATTCTAAAAAAAAAAATAATAATTTACTAGATTTTTTGAAATTCTGAGATTAAAATTTAATTTTATAACTGTTTTTAAATTTTTTATTTATAATTTTTTACGATGCTGTAGTTTACGATTATGATCAATTAATATTATTATTATTTAAAAACCAAAAATATTATTACTAGTAAAAATGTTATTGAAATATGTTCCTGAAGTTAAAAAAAAAAGAAAAGTTCCAGTTTTTCATTTACTTTTCAATAATGTTAACAAAAAATTTTTTTTTCATTTTTCATTATAAAAATATCAATTTTTTAATAAACAAATTAAGTTTTTTTTTAATTTGGATATGATATTTAAAAATTTTTTTTTTTTTAAAAACATACCTGGAAATACTAAGAAGATTTTGCAAAAAAATTTAAGAGTGGGCCGATAAGTTTTATAGATTTTAAATAAACATTTAAACACCGCGCGCAGCATTTTTCGCATTTTTGAAAATTACAAAAAATTGTAAAATTGTTATAAAAAATATTTTTTTCATTTTGTTTGGAATCTGAAATCATATTTCTCACTATGAAAAATAAAAAAAAAATAATTTTTAACAATTTTACAATTTTTTTTAATTTTAAAAAATGCGAAAAATGCTGTGCGCGGTGTTTAAATGTTTATTTAAATCTATAAAACTTATCGGCCCACTCTAAATTTTTTTGCAAAATCTTCATAATTATTTCCAGGTTTGTTTTAAAAAAAAAAAATAAAAAAAATATCATATCCAAATTAAAAAAAAACTTAATTTGTTGTTTTTTAAAAATAAAAAATAAATTTTTTTGTTAACATTATTGAAAAGTAAAAGAAAAACTGAAACTTTTCTTTTCTTATCAAAAATTAAAAAAATCTATTTTTTTCCCGAGTTATCAGCCATTGAAAATAGGTCTACATTGAAGAAACTGAAATTTTGAAAATTCATAACTCGAAAATTTTTCAAAAAAAAATAAAAAAATACGTATCTCTTTTTTTTTACTACAGAACAAGAAAAAAATATATTTGGCCGAATTTAAAGGGTCGACGGAAATCTCACGTGATTTCGCCCATATATATTAATTGAAACATAAAAAATAATCTCTAATATTTTTTTATTATCTAGATTATTGAGAACTCCAGATGAATTAAGTGAATTATTTCAATTGGCGAAATTAAATGAATTGGATTTTAGTAATGTAACACAAATTTTATATTCAGAGAAGGAAAATGACTATTCAAATATTAAATTAATTGAATTGGATAAAAATTTGTTGAATGCAATAGAAGTAGGTGATAGGTAAGAATATATTTTTTTTTTTTAATTATTATTATTTTCTAATTTCACTTAATTTTTTTTAATGTCAATTTAAATTTCATTAGTTTATCGTTTCGAGGCGAAAAAAGCGAATCCGTTGTTTTATGTACAAAAAATCAAACTTACGATGTGAGAGATGCCGAAACATCAAATTCTCTTATTCTGGTACCAAATTTAAAATTCCACTCTAAATTAAATGGTTCGGAACCAGAAAATAAATCCATAGTGGCACAAGAAGTAAAAGGAATATTTCACTCTTATCTTGAAGTAATTTTATTTATTTCTAAGAATATTTATTAATAATTATAATTAACAAATTTTTTTTAAAAATTTTATTGTAATTGCAAATTTAATTTTGATGTTATATTTTTGAATTGTTGTATTTTTTTTTATGATTTTTAATTATAAATTAAAATAGCGTAAAATATTTTAGGTGCGACAATGTAAACCTAGATTTAGTAAACTTCCTGTAATATTAGGGCCAACTACATTTAACGGAACGGAATATGAAAAACGTATAGATAAAAAAGAATTGTACAATTGGAATAAACTTCGTTCTCACATTCAAGCAAGTGATGAAGAACTAATTAATGCTCTTTCACAATATTCAGTTGTAAATATAAATGGTAAGATTTATCATTCAATTTTAATAATTAATAATTTATAAAGGAATTAAAATAAAAATTAGAAAAAAATTACGTATAATAATGATAATAATTTAGAAATTAAAATTTTCAATTTAATAATTTATTAATTAATACAAAAAAAAATCATTTTTCGAATTTTCAGGATATTATCGAATTGTATCATTTGAATATGAAACACAAGCATTGACAAATATGTTAGAATTTGTCGATTACAATTCAATAGAACCTGATCAAGTTGATAAAGAAGCAAGTTTGGAAGCTTTACATGAATTAATTCCCGAACCTGTATTTAATGCAATTTTTGATAAATATACCGAACCAAGTGGCAAATTTAAAGACACTGGAGAAATTTTGTACAGGTTGAAAAAGAAAAAAAAAATCAAATTTTTTAATTTTTTTACATATGTTTTTTGTAATTTCAATTTATTTACAGATATATTGAGGAAAAAGTTTGTAGACTTTTGGCTAATGTTTTACTCACAGCATCGCCAGTTACTGAATATACTGGATTCATGGAAGCTTGGAGTATTGGAACACCTGAGGGTGATTTTTACATTTTTTATTTTTATTTATTTATTTGCTACAAAAATTGTTGCTTTTAATTGAATTTTTACCACTGTGAAAAAATTACTTTCTCAGAAATGAAAATATAGAAATTTTGCTTATTGAAAGAAAAAATAAATAATAAGTGATAAACTCATTTATATGTAACAAAAATAATAATAATAATAATAATAATAATAATAATAATTTAAAATTAATTACGTTCTCAGGAATGAAATCGCAGGAAAAATATCTATATGGAATAGCAATTATTAAATGGAACAGTGAGAAAAATAGAAAAGAAGTTGTTTCATTTCCAGAATCAAATTTACCGGATAATATTGAAAAGAGATTTGAGGAACTTTTTAAAATCAAAGACAAATGGACCATTGAGGAGATAACGCCTTACATTATGTAAGTGCAATAAATAGCTTTTTTCAAAAATTAAATTAAATTTCAAACTTAATTTAATTTACATCTAATTTTTTATTTTATTTGAAATATTTAAATTTATTTAAATTATTCTTGTTCTTGTAAAAGAAAAAAAAAACTATATTTTTAATTTAAAAAAAAGAATATTAATTTTCAATTAATTTAATAAAATTGGAAAATATGAAATATTTTTTTAAAAAAATAATTTTTTTTTCTTGTTTAGAAATTTAGCAACTGAAAAATTAAATGTGAACGCACTCTTGACAAAATACGGAAGAATGTCCACGAAAAATGGTATTCGCTTTTACAGCTCAAAACATGGAAAATAAATTATTGGTTTTTTTTTTTCAAACAAAAAAAAGGCGAAATTTCTTTTTTGATGAAATCATACATGTAATTTATTTTTGTTTATAATATAGTTACATTTACACAAATTTACAAATATTTGTCGTTAATTGAGAATACACTTAAACATTTCAACTCTCCCATTTTTTTTTATTTCGATAGGGAGTAAAGAAGAAATCCAATAATAATATTTAATAACTATATATATATATATGTCTGTAAAATAAAATTACAGTCATTTTTTTGATGTCTAAATAATAGCATCAATTGAATTTGCCACAGCCAACTCAATTTTTACAAAATATAGATGTAATGACTTTAGAAATATGTAAATAAAAAAAAAAAAAACATAACTTTCTTAAAATTCTAGTTATTTAAAAGAAAAATAATTTTTACAATTTTTCAAAATAAAAAGACGTATCGATATAATAAGTTTAAAAAAAAATTTCTTGTTGATATGACTACTTTTTAAATTACTATTTTTTATATATCCAAATATCTACTATAATTATAACAGATTGAGAAAATTTTCTAAAAAAAAAAAGAATCAAAAAAATTAATATTTAATATGAGTGTTTTTTCTTTATTGTAAATAATTAAAAAAAAATTTATAAATAAAAATTTTAACTATTAATTGAAAATAAAATAATAAAAATCGAATATTAACAAAAAATATTACATATACATTCTTCTGAGCAATTATATATAGAAACTTAATAAAAAATGACTTGTGTGTCTTTTTTTTTCCTAGTAAAAAAAAAGAAATGCTATAAAATCTAATGAAAACTAAGAATGATATTTGAGTATTAATTGAATACCTTATTTTTAATTTTTTTTTTTTTTTTTTTTTTTTGCATGAAAACTTGTAAAATTTAATGCTTTGCAAAATGGAATATTTACAAATTTGTGAAATATTTTTTTTTTATCCTTTAACACGATAGCAGCGTTAATATTATTTATGAAAAATTGTTAAGCGTCTAATTAGGAAGAATGCTGCCTGACATTTTTTTTTAAGTCTCTGAGTTTATTTTTCTACGATAATATAGAAAAAAAAAAAGAAAAATATTTTTATGTAGTCTAAAAAATTTTTTTTTGTGACTTGGCACAAATATTTTCTATAGTGTGTGCGTGTAGCATATTATATATATATATATTTTATAGAAAAAAAACCTCGATTTTGCTTTTTATAAATTAGAATTATTCACATTTTTCTAGAACGAATTTTTTTTTACTCTTTTTTTTTGTTAAAAATAAGAGATAAATTAATTTTTCGTTACAAAATAAATAAGAAAAAAAAATATGTTGTTCCAGAAAAATGTTGAAGACGATACATTATATATTTATTTTTTATTTATTTAGCGAGACGAATATGCTAAGAATAGACTGCACAAAAAGGCGTTTTACACAGGAACAATAACGACTAAAGATGTGCAATTTTTATTTTATTTTATTTTTTGTTATCGAAAATTTTATTTTTCTAAATTATTCTCCCGAAGGAAATTATTTAAAAATAAAAAAAATTAAAAGTTAAATTAAATTTCAATGGAAATTTAGTACTTAATTTATTATTTATTTATTTTAGTAAAAATAAAAATTTCACTGTTAAATAAAATGGAAAATCAATGTTAAAAATTTGTTTTTCAAAAAAAAAAAATCACCGATTTTGTAAAATAAAGATAAAAAGTAGATTAAAAAATAAATAATTGATTAAATTTCGATTAAATTGAAAACAAAAAAATTTGAAATGCACATCTCTAAATCGATTTCTTAAATTGTAAATCTGTTAATTAACATTTTCTCTTTCTCACTCTCTATTTTTTTTTTTTTTTTTACCTTTTTCTTTCGACAACTGTGAAAATGTAAAGTGAATTTTATAAAATAGCTGAAAAATATTTCATAGGAACTAACGCGTCAAAGAACATTTTCCACATTTTACAAAACATTCTGTATAAACGCCACAAACTTGTATATAATATATATATAAATCGTTCTAATAATAGCTAAAATAACATTCAGTCCCATTTCCTTACACTTTACATGTTTCGCAAAACAAAATAAAAAAAAAAAAAAAATGTTTTCGCCCAGAGAAAATGACATTGTAATACTTAACAAAAAATCGAAAAAATACTTTTTTTTTCAATTAAAAATTCTTTTTCAATTTAAAAACAAAAAAATTTCGAAATTTATAAAGATTACAATTTTTTTTTTCTAAGTTGGAAACAAAACGCATTACTGCTTTATTAAATATACCATTATTACTGTTTTTTTTTTTTTTTTTTTTTTGTCATTCTTTCGATAAATATCTAATATAGAATCAACCTAGGGGGGATGACACAGAGCGCATAAAAATTTTCAATAGCAACAATTTTTTTTTTTTTTTGTTTTCTTTTTTGTAAAATCAGAAAAGTGTGAAAAAGTTTGTTTTTTTTCCCCCCACAAAAATTTACATACACAATATTTATATAATATTTAAACTAGACTCGTTTGTGTCAACCCGCATTCGAGTTTGGTACATCATTGTGTTAACAAAATAATAATAATAACACTGTATTCCTAAAGCTTTGGAGTGTTGATCTCGATATACAGTACTATATATTGTATATAACTTAATCTACAGAGACACGATCTACAAATAACGAATACTGTCCTATTAAATAAGTACGTTTTCAAAAAAAAAAAGAAAAATAAAATGTACATAAAAAAAAATATTTTCTTTCTTAATGTAAAAAGTTATTTTTTGATAAAAATTCAAATTTTCCGATTTATCCGTCTCCAAAAAAAAAAAAAAAAAAAATATCTAAATTTGAGAGAAAAAATTGAAATTATCGAAAATTGTAAAAAAATCGAATTTAATTAATAAAAAAAAAAAAAAATAAAATAAAATGGTAACGAAATTGTTACCATATAAAATGGAAATCTAAAATTGTACTCAACGCGTGTTTCCGTATTGCTAGCTCTCGTGTTGTTGTTGTTGTTGTTGCTGTTGTGATTCATTGATGACTTTGTTATTTGCAAAAACGGTTTGCACAACTTCGGACGATAGTGTTGTGCTTGGATGTATTATTGGCGCTTTTGTTTGGACTATGTTACAAGAGACTGGAATCATTGGTGGAAGATTGACGGAATTACCTGTGCCTATTGATAGTGAGGGACGTTTTCTTTCAAGGCTATTTGTCGCCATTTGTCGTCGTGTCGTTGAATTTCTCTCGAGGCTATTTGTCACCATGTGATGACGTCTTTCTAAACTTGAAACAGCACTCGAGTCCGATTGACTGTCCTGTAATTATTTTTTTTTCGTTTTCAATTTCAAAAAATTAATAATAAATTTCTAATTATTTTTTATGAATACAAATTTTCTAGTTATAAAATTTAATTTTTTTCCGTTTTGATTTTTTTTTTTTTTTTTTGGGAAAAATTAAGAAACCAATTTTTTCATTACCTGGAGTGAGCGATCAACAGATTGTCCCATACGATGTAAAACATCACCACTTTGACTTTGTCGAAAGGTGTGAACTTGTCTTTCGCTCGATTGACTTCTCCTGAGAAGATGTTCACCCGATTGACTCGAGCGAATTCGATTTTCAGGCGTCGAACCACGAATGAATGTATCATTATTTTGCCTTTGACAAATTTGATTGTCAACATATGGATAACGTATTCGAATTGAATCAATAACGTCCAAAAGATTTTTTGCATCCATTGCAAGAACGTGTGCAGCTGACAACATTCCCCTTTGGAAAATAGTAGAAATTTAAATATCTTATTTCAAAAAATAAATTCAAACTAAAAAGAAAAATTCCAATACTACTTGTATAATTTATTCTAAATATTTTTAAAATATATTTTTTTTTCTTTGAATAATTTTATCCAAATAATTGTGAAGAAGACGAAATATTTTTTATAATTTTTTCGTTTTTTAATTAATTAGCAAAATAAAAAAATTAATTATTTTATATTTATTTGGTTAAAAAGGAAAATAATATTCTAATTATAATAATAATAATAATTGATAAATCAAACATACTTTCGATACTCGGCGTCAAGAGTTGTTGCGCTGTAATTTTGAGCGAGTCTCAATGATGAAACAAGTTCCAACATGTCCTTGCTCAAAACTTTATGGGCCATTTCAACTTCACGATGAGCAGAAACTGGCAAAATTTCGACTAGACTGTCCACTGATGAAAGAAGCGATCGTAATTCAATTCCTACACGTCTAACTAGCTCCAAATATTGGTCCGCTTTACTTTGTTGAACACCTACAGAAAAAAAAAAAAAAAATTGAAAAAAGAAAATTTTTTTTTATCAATAAACAACATTTGCCGCACGGGGAAAAAAAACAGAAAAAATCAGAGAATAGATAGAAGAAATCAGAGATACAAAAATTTCTAAAAATGCTATTAAAATTATAATTTTTTTTGTTAATTCAGACTTTTACTGTCTTTAGCCTTGAAAATTCGAAAAATGAATTTTTTTTTTTGAAAACTTTACTGTTTTCAAAATTGTTTTTTCAATTATTTTATTTTCCTTCAAAAATATCAGATTATAAAAATTAAAATTAATTAAAATTATAAAAATTACTCATTATAATTAGGAAAATTGGAAATCGATGTAAAATAGAAAAAAAAAATCTATAAAAAAATATAGATTTAATTATGAAGAAGACAAACGAAATGGAAAATTTTAATAAATGTTACTTTTTCTTACCTTGCGATAATGACATCACAGCTCTAACGACACATGTTGTACAGTCATAAACTTTATCGTTGGTTCTATCGAGGTCTGCTGTTGGTGTTGGTTCCATTTTCTAAGAGCAAAAAAAAGGTTAACGAATTTAAAAAAAAATCCTAATTTAAAAATTAACGTCCTATTATTGTAATTACTAATATTTATAAATATTAATAACAGTCACGAACAAATAATTTTATTTCCTTTGAATAATAACAATTAATTTTTTACCAAACAATTTTTGTATCACAGGATTTTTTTTTGCATTCTAAAAAAAAGTCAATTTATAAACTAAAAATAACAAATTAATTAATAAAAAAGAAAAAAATTATCGGAAATATAAAATAAATAAAAAGTATAATAATAATAATTATTACAAATGAATAACACAAAAAATTAGATTTTAAATAAAAATAAAAAAAATTACGTATAAAGAATAAATAGAAGAAAAATTTTGTTTTGAATTGAAAAAAAAAAATTTGTGCAATTAAATCGAAAATTAATAATAAAAAAAAGAAAATATATATTACCTTGACAATTATAACTTTTTCAGATCCTTTGTCTGATCCAAGAGATCCAGTATTTGTTGTATGTGGTTCATGACTAGGAGACTGTGTCACTGATCGTGGAATTGGAGGACTTGCACTTTCATCTCCACTCGTTGCAATTGAAAGTCGTTTCTGTAATACCATATTTTATTTTCAATTTTATTTATTTACTTCCATAAAAATTTTAAATTAATATAAAATTTTTCATTCAAATTCAAAACAATTAATAATTATTAAAATGCAAAAAAAAAAAAAGAAGAAAAAATCTACCTCTTCACGTGCAAGCCATCGACTATCTTCCTCAGATTGACGTTGCTGTTCCAATAATCGTTTCTCCAAAAGTTTCGCTTCCTCCTCTAGTCCGGTATTGAAAATTTCTCCACTACTTTCAAATATTTGCGATTGTGCGTTTCTCTAAAAATTGTAAACAAAAACTTTTCTTTTTAACATATCGAAAAGAAAAAATTTGTAAACTTTCCCAATTCCACTTTATTTTTTTTTTTTTTGCTAATATAAAAAATTTCTCCAAATTTTTTTTTTTTCTTTTGTTTTCAAATCGTCGTTGTTCCCAGTTTTCGTCTATATTTTTTGTGTTTGAAAATTTAAAAGTTACTTTTTAAATGAATTAAAAAAAATAAATAAAAATTTTATTATTTATAAATAAATTTATTATTGTAAATTAAATTAAAAAATGCAAAAAGAATGTATTTATTTTGTTATTAAATTGAAATATCAAAACGAAAAAATGGGTCAAACGACGTTAATTGAGAGAGAGAGAGAGAGAGAAAAAAAAACAAATTATTTCCAAGTATTTCGTATTTTTTTCATTATACAAAAGTGAAAATAAAAATTTAATTGTACAATGTTATCGCGGGAAAATTTATAAATAAATACAAAAATTAAATTCAAAAAATAGAAATAGTAAATAAAAAAAAAATTCAAATTATTTTCGAAAAGAAATATTTCATTTTTTTTTTCTCTTTATCATAAAAAAATAATTCCACAACTGAACCTATGAAGAAGCAACTTAAAAACTAATAAATAAAATTATTATATTAATTTATAAAATTGTGATAAAATAAATCCAGGCCAGTAACTATATATATATATGTAGGTGATGATTGAAAAAAATGGAAATTATTTTTTGCAATATGTACACAAGAGTCAAAAATTAAAGAGATGCATAATTCCTTGCAAACCATATTCGAAATAATAATAATAATAATAAAATGTACATCATAATTAAATTTTTTTATGTAAATATATATATAATACATACATCATGCATGCAAACGATGTGATTACGGAAATTATTGATATATATTATAGGGCTCTATATGCAGTGTCATTGTTCATTCTCCATGCGCTTAAAATATTTATCCTAACAAACCACAAAAGAATCAACCAATTATTCAACGATATACCGACAATCTCTACGACTATAATATCAACTACATTAAACAGAATGACAAAATCCATAAAATTAATCATTGTATGATTGGGGATTGTACACTTGAATTTGTGCTTTAAATACAATTTTTTTTTATTTATCGTGTCACAAACTCCAAAAAGCTTTTCTATTTCTCTAAGTGCGCTCATTACGAAATATATGATAATAATAATTTCGTCATTTGAATTTTTCTACATGACAAAAAATAATTCCTCTTCGCTTCTTCATTTTTTTTTTTTTTTAGTTTTGTAACATTTAAAAAAAAAAAAACAACATAAAATAACAAATAATTATATGCAAATTTGCGCCAATAGCCCGTTAGTTTGTACTTTTATTTTTTTCAAAAAAAACAAAATATTTTATCAAATTTTTGAAATTAAAAATTTAATTTAAATATTTCTTCCATTAAATAAAAAAATAAATAATTATCTAATTTTTATTATTAAATGGGGATGAATTAATATTTTTTAAATTAATTTCTAATATAAGTAAATAAAATAAAATTAAAAAAAATGTACCAATAAATTTTATCTTCATCTTATTATAAAATTATGTTTGTACACTTTGGAAGATTAATAATTAAAAAATTAAAATAAAAGTAAAAAAAATGTATAATAATAAAATTAATATATATATATATATATATATATATATAAATTATATTATAAATATAAATATAAATATAAATAATTATATTTAAATTTATTAATATCGTGAAAAAATTATTTGATTCTTTTTATAAATTTTATTTATTTAATTTATTCAATTTATTTACTCAAATATTAATCGTAACTATTTACTATTATATATATATATATATATATATATATATATATATATAATAGTAAATAGTTACGATTAATATTTGAGTAAATAAATTGAATAAATTAAATAAATAAAATTTATTAAAAGAATCAAATAATTTTTTCACGATATTAATTAATTTAAATATTGAATTAGATTGAAAAAAATATATTACATTTAGTGAATGTTATATAAAAAAAGAAATAATATTTATCAATTTGAAAAAAAAGAAAATTTTTTAATATTAGTGCGGTATGAAAAAAATACTTACAAATGAAAAAAACATGATCAGAAAGATTTAATACGTGATTTTAATTTATTATTTCCCCAGTGCAATGTCAAAATTGAATAAAATTATAAATTGTTCTGCTTTCATCTAACAATAACGATCATCTGAAAGGTGGTGACTAAAATAAATGAACTATTAAAACAAAGATGCAAGGTCATTGTCTATGCCAAAAATAGACAACTGTATTAAAAAAAAAAAAAAAAAAATTTAAACAACACAACCTACTGACCCAAATTTGCACATTTTGAAAATAAGAGAAAAACACAATTTTTTTGTCAATTCTTTGGAAATAATAATGATAATTAAAAATAATTAAAAATAAAAATAATTAAAAATAAAAATAATTAAAAATAATAATAAATAATAGAAATAATAATAATAATAAAAATTAGTTTAAGCCAAAAAAAACTAAATTTTTGGTGAGTGCCATACTCCTAAAGAGCAGCCAGAGAAAAAATATTTACAATTTTGAGGACTAAATCAAGTGCTCGTCTGTAATGAGGAAAAGAATAAGGAAAGTAGTAATATTTTAATTTGCATAATATACTGGTTTACAAATTGAGAAAAAAAATTCCTGTACACTGGAATACATTAATAATATACATTTAATTTTATTTTCCCCTCCTAAACTCGAAAAAAAAATTTTTGTATGAAAAATAAAAATAAAGTTTGCATTTAACGTTTTAACGAATTCAATTATAAATGAAATAAAAAATTACTTTTTTGAAGATTTAAAAAAAAAACAAAATTGAAGAATACAAATAGTTTCAAAAATAAAATTTTAATGGTTAAATTGAAAAAAATAGAAAATATATTTGCATCAAATTTTGGAAAAATTTCATTTAAAAGCACACAATTTCTATATAAAAGAAAAGAAATCTTTTGAAATTGATGCATTTTTTCAAAAATAAAAAAATTATTGAATTTTTATTTAAAAAAAAATTCACATCTCATAAATTGTTTGATAAAAAAATTTGGAAAAAAATAATGAAACTTTTTTTGGTAGAGTACTAAGAGATAAAATAAAAAGTTTAGCTAATATTGTAAAATTTGAGTTTATATACACTTTTTAGAAAAATTAAATGATTAACTTTTGAAAACTTGCTTCTCTAATTATATAAAAAATTAAATTTCTAACCATTTCAACGCTCATAATTTTGTAAAAATCATTAATTAGAATTTTCATTTTATAGGATTTTATTAGAAATAATTATATTTTTTAGACGAATTTTTAATTTTCGAATTAAAATTTAACAGATTTTCTTTTTATATACAAATTTTTATTTAACAAAATTTTTAGCTACCGAATTTTTTTGACAGAATTTTTATTTTACAGTCACTTTTTTTAAATGATTTTTTATTTAAAAAAATTTTAATTTAACTAAATTCTCAATGAATCGAATTTTTATATGATTCAAATTTTCAAGTGAGAAAAATTTCAATTCACTAAATTTTAATTTGTCCAAATTTTTATTTGTACAAATATTTAATTGTCAGAATTTTTAAAGACGCCGAATTTTTTATTTGTCCCGTAATTATAAATTTTCCCGAAAAAATGAAAATTAGACGTCTTAAAAATTCTATCAATTAAAAATTCGTATAAATAAAATTTCATATAAATGAAAATTCGGTGAATTGGAAATTGTCATTTAAAAATTTGAATCATATAAAATTCTATTGATTGAAAATTTCGTTAAATTAAAATTCTTTTAAATTAATAATCATGTAAATTATAGGAATAATAAAAATTCTGACAAATTCGGTAACTAAAAATTTTTTTTAAATAAAAATTCATATAAAAAGAAATCAGGATGTCTAACAACTACTAGGTAAAAAATTCTCTAACTTTTCACTGACTTTTTGATCATATAACATTTATTTTGATACAATTAAATCATTTACCCGCGTCTATTATCAACTAATTTCATATGTATTTGAGCCAAATAAATAATGTTTCGTAAAAAAAAACAAAATATTTAAGTGAAATAAATAAAATAATTGTGAACGTATAAATATTCTCAACATTTAATTTAAAAAAATTTTCACGTCGTTAAATCTTAAATAATCAAATTTTTATTTAGTAAAATTATATAAAGCAGATTTTCTAGTACATCGAATTTCAAATTAATACAATTTCAATTTAACGGAATTTATGTCAAAGAAAAATTGCATAAAGAAAAAATTTTTTTTTAACAGAATTGTTATTTTAGTAAATTTTGATTTATAAAAATATTTACTTAACAAAATTCTTAATTAACAAAGTTTTTATTAATGAAAATTTTAATTCCAACTAATTCTTATTTAACAGAATTCTCATTTAAAAAAAATTCTACTTCGTTCTTTTTTTTTTTTGTCAATTTTTATAGACATAAATTTCATTAAATTGAAATTATAATATTAATTTATAATTTTTTAAAAGCATTAGAAAAAATGCTTTATAAGAATTCTGCTAATTAGACATTTTTTTTAAATCGAATTTTAGTTAAATGTAAATTGAAAATTTTGCATAATATAAAATCCAATTTTATACAATTTTGCTAAATAGAAATTCGATAATTTAATATTCGACGTCGTAAAATTTTTAATAAGTTAAATGTGGGGTATTAGCATTAAATAATAAATTATTCGTATTAATGAATAATTTATTTTATTTGATGTTGAACCGCGAAAATGAAATTTAGTATCAAATAATTTTTATTTATATTAAAAAAAACCCAAATATTTCACTGAAAAAAATTAATTAATTCTTATTCAAGTTTAAAAAATCATTTATTAGATTCAATAAATAGTAGTAAATAATTATTTATTTAATGAATATAAGATATATCAAATGCTTAATAATTGAGTGTGAAGGCCAACTTTTTAATTTGCATTTGCTTTGGGGAAAAAGAGTAAAAAAAATTTTTTCGAAACTAATAGTTACTTTAATTTATTCATAAAAAATTACAGAAAATTAAAGAAATTCTCTGAATTTTTCCTGACTTTTCCTGATCGTTAGACACCCCGTTAAAGTTTGTTAATTAAAAATGTGAATATAATAATTCTATGATATGAAATTATTGGTTCTATGAAAATCCAATAAAATTTCCTTTCATTAAAAATGTGGACTAAAAAAATTTTTACAAAAAAATTATTTTGTAAACCAGTGTAAAAAAAAAAAAATAAAATTGGAAGGTGTCGGGGAAGGATTTTTTGTTTTGTTTGTCATTCGTAGAGAGGCATTTGCAAACCTGTTCTTGCTGAACCTCTTCAGTCATTGAACTGCATGATGACACTGTACTGTCGCTGACGGCCGACGACATTAACGAGCCGGACAATGTTCCGTCAATGGATGTCGTCAATAATTCGTCTGTCTTTTGTGTAATTAAATTCGTCATTTTGCCAATTGGCAAATTTTGTCTGCAAATTGGCTGTTGATGAAGATGATGATGATGCTGCTGCTGCTGCTGCTGTTGATGATGATGATAATGATGCTGAACACTCGGAACACAAAATTGATTTTGTTGTTGCGAATTACAAGTTTGCATTTGCATTTTTTGCGCTTGAACAATTCCAGTTGGTGTCGCATGAACCGTATAAATTGGCGCCTGTGAATATGAATTTTGTTGCGCTTGATAGGAATTTTGTGAATTTTGCCGTTGCACACATTGAGCACGCGAAATATAAACCTGTTGATCCTGTCCAGGTAGATTTGAATAAATTTGATAATTTTGTGGATACAATGATTGTGTTTGATAACTTTGCATTGGCGTTGGACTATAGACTCTTGAATTTTGTATATGCGAGACATTAGGCGGTGTTGATGATTTTATTTCACATTGATTTTGAGCTGTTTGCGCACGAAATTTAAGAACCGGTCCATAAAGACATTCAACACTCGATGAAATTATATTACTAGAATTTTGACCCGAAAATGATTGACTCATTACTGATGATGATGATGAGGATGAAGAGGATGATGATGAAATGTGTGTGACATTATTACTTAAGCTAGCTACTAATTGTGTTCCTGGATTTTCACCAAAATTACCACCAACACTTGGACTTTGACTGAGATTGCCAATAATTGCTGAACTTTGAGAAAAATTAGCAACGGGTCCATAAATTTCTCCACTACATGAAGTGGTAACTGGGGCGAATTTTTGCACTGGTGAATATAAATCACCAGTTACATTGCCAATGATTTTTGAACTGACTGAATATAAATTCTGCATCTCTTTAATCCTTTGGCTTCGAGTTGATGCGGGCGATTGATTTTGTGTGGATTCGGATATTGTGAGACTGGACATGTGTGACGATGACATTGTATCGGATGAATCAAAGGAATCAAGATTTGTTATGTCGGATAAAGTGGAATCGGCGGAATGATTTTCATGATGGGAAATTGTTGTTGTTGTTGTTAATGATGATGGTTGTTCGACAATTGTGGGATCAAAGAAGGGCAAGTCTGTAACCGAGCCGGTTGTTAGAACTTGATCTTCATCTTGGAATTGTACAGCGAGACTATTGAATGGAGTGGCGGGCGTTGTATAGACTGAGGGACATACCCCCCGGGCTTGATTATCCTTGAGTAGTTGAGCCAGAACTTCGGGACTTTGAGCCACGATGTACGTTGACACGGGTGCTACTTGCAATTGATCGCCTGCATTTGGAGGTTGACGCGATGGTTTTGGCGGTGGAATATCGTCGGCTCCGGCTATTATGGGAAAAGTAGAGAAAAACAAATTTTTATTTTATTTTATTAAAAAAAATTTTTTTTAAACTAAGAAAATTAATTATACAAATTAAAAAGAATGAAAATTAATTAATTACAGGAAAAAGAAAAAAAAAGAAAATTTTTTCTCTAACAGGACATTAATTTAATTTAAATAAATAGATATGAAAAAACAAAATTCCCTTCTAGAAAAATTAAAAGTTTGATTAAAATAAAAAAAAAAGAATATTTAAAAAAAAATCGAATTAGAAAATTAGAAAGAAGAAAAATTAGAAAATTAACTAAATTGTAAAATAAATAATTCATTTTTTTTATAAAAAGAAAATTTTCAATTAAATTAGTGCAAATAAGGAAAAAATTAAATTTTTTTTATATTTTAAGTCCGTACATTGTAAATAAATAAATAAATAAAAATGAAAAAAGGTAGAGAAAAATTACAAAAAATTGATGAACAAAAAGAAGAAGAAAAATAATTCATCAAATGAAAACTAGATCTGAAAATGAGAATCTATTTTTTTCTTATATTCGAAATAGAATTTTTAAAAATAAAAAAACTGATGAAAATAAAAGATAAATTTTAATAAAAAAAAATAAATAAAAAAAAAGGCATTCAAAAAATATTAACAACAAAAAATAATTAAAAAAAAAAAATTTCCTACAAAAGAAGATAAAAAAAAAAAAAATTCGTAAAATAATGGAACGAAAAACAATGTAGGTAAATTTTACTTTGTACTTGGTTTAGTAAAAAATAATAGAAAATTCAAAAAATAAAAACATACCCCACGACATTGCTTGAACTCTTCGATTTTCCCTCTTCATTGTCTCCTGCTGTTGATGTTTCTCGTCCAACAGAATTTCGCTATAAATATTAAAAAAATTATATTTCCAAAAAAATTCTTCAATATTGAGAATAAAAATTTAATTTGAAAAATATTCTCCTTACTATAAAAATTTTGTTTTAGAAAACTAAAAATTTCTAATTAAAATTCATAATTGAAATTTTTTTTTTTTTTTTTTTTTGAGAAAAAATATTTGAAAAACAAAATTTCTTTTTAATTAATAATAAAATAAAACTCACTGTAACGTTTCACGAATATCTTTGAATGTTGGTCTTTTGCTTGGCTCATAACTCCAGCATTGGGACATTAATGAATATAATCGAGGTGGACAGTGATTTGGTAAAGCGAGCCTCTCGCCATTTTCCAGCTTGCGAATAACTTCATTATTCTTGACACCCTGGAATGGCTTTACACCCAACATCAAAATTTCCCACATACAAACGCCTAAGGAAAAGAAAAAAAAAGAAATTCCATTCAGAGACAAGAGAGAACATTTTTTTTTTAATTTTACAACGAATTATTATTAAATAGAAAAAAATTTTTTTGAAAATATAAAAACTCACCAAACATCCATACATCCGAGGATGTTGTGAATCTTCGGAAATTTATACTTTCAGGCGCCATCCATTTTATTGGAAGTTTACATTTACTCGCCGTGTAATAACTCTGATCTTCCACCCAACGACTCAGTCCAAAATCTGCTAATTTCACACAATTGTGAGCCGAAACAAGAACATTTCTCGCTGCAATATCTCTGTGAATTTAATTTATAAACAATCAATAACAAAAAAAAGAAAGGAATTGATTATTGTTTCCCGTGTGAATTGAATTTTTTTCTTCTATTTAATTCTCGAATTAAACGACTTTTTTTTTAACGCCTTAAAGTTCGATTCGAGACCTAATTAAAAAATACCCAAAAAAAATAAAAAATTATCGATCTTTTATTTTTGTTTGGCAATATTTAAATAAATTTAGAATTTTTTTTTTCAATTTTAAAATAAAAATTCCTTTTTATTTAGAGAATTATTGAAAAATTTCGAAAGAAAATTTTTTATTTTGTTTTTAATAAAAATATTAATTACCTGTGAACGAATTTTTTGCTTTCAAGATAGGATAAAGCGGTGCTAAGTTGAAAAGTATAGAGTAAAAGTGTTGCCAAATCAAGCCGGTGCTTGTTCGATTGAAGATAGGCACGCATTTCTCCAAGCCTCGCTAATTCCATAACCAGCCAAATTGGTGCCTCCGAACACACGCCTATCAATCTAATAATATGTGGATGTTCAAACTGCTGCATTATATCTGAAAATAAATAATAAATCAAATTTTTTTTTTTGAATTAACTGACAAAAAATTAATTAATCAATTACAAATTTACGGCATTTTTTTTTATTGTTTTATCTCTTGTATGTTTCACAAAATAGCGTAAATTTTAATTATTTAACAAAATTATTACTGAAACGAAAAATATCAAAAAGGAAATAATTAACATAAATAAATATATAATAAAAATTATTATTAATAATTATAATAACAATTATTAATATTATTATTATTTAATAATAATAGCAATCACAGTAATAAAAATTAAAAACGAAAAAGATGCTATTATTTTTTAATTTATTAATAAATTATTTATTTGTAGTATAAATTATTGTTTAAAAAATAATTTCGTGTATTATTTATTTATTAGCAAACGGGTAAAAGCGCTTTTTTGAAATGTACTAAAAAATAGGAAAATTATGACTAATATTTATGAATTATGATCTAATTATTGTGAGAAAATTAAAAAAAAAATTCTTACATGCTTCTTCAAGGAACTTTTCGGCAGTCGCTAAATCAGCGTCGACTTTACAAGTTTTGACAGCAACGGCAATTGTTTGTCCATCGCGTCCTTTATACGATCCTTTATGAACATTTCCAAATTGTCCCTCGCCTATTATTTCGCCCAATTCAACATGATTTCTCACTATCTCGTAGTCTCTCGCTAAAAATAAAAAAAAAAATTATCTTTTCTCAATAATTTTCTATATAATTTTTGTTTTTCAACTATTAATTTACAAAAAAATTACAATTGTACAATAATAATATTAAAAAAAATATTTAAGCTTTTGAAAAATCAATTTACAAAATAAATTGAAATAAACTAGAAATATTTAAAATAATTAGATAAACTATAAATAAATATTTGAAATAATTAAATAAAAAAAAAAATTAATCATTTTGATTTGAAAAACAAAAAAGAAAACTTACTCGCAGGAGTGGAATAATCGCCTTCCTCGTCAACAATTTCCGCATAATCCTCGGACAAAATTGTTCCCGTCTTGCCGGCATTTTTCTCGGGGCTTTCGTTGCCCTCTTGTCGGTACTTGGGTGGATGTGCATCTAAAAATAAATCTTCTATTAAGTGTCTATTTTTATAATCAAGAGAAAAAAGATAGATAGAGAGAGAGAGAGAGAGTGACAGAGAGAATTTTTTTTTAAAAACAAAAAAAAGAAATTAATATACAAACCTTTGCAAGGGCAGGGATAATTTTTCCATGAAGCAGCTTGTAATAAGAATGAAATTGTCGTAGTGTTAGTGAATTTTGTTTTATTTTTCTCATTTCATAATAATAGTTATATATAGAAAAAAAAAGAATTCTAGAAAATTATTCTAAAAATCCAGAATAGTTGATTTTCTTCTTTTTCTAAATTATTATTTTTTTTTTTTTTTTAATTAAAATTTCATCTTTCGTAGAAGAATTTGAGCTAAAAAAAAAAAAAAATGTCGAATTTTTTTTTTTCTGAAAAAAATTGTTTTACCTTTTCTATTCCAGAGAGAAGTATTACTACCAGTGACTAATCTGCAGTATCCATCAATTAAATCCGCTAAACTTTCGGCTTGATCTAAACTCGAGCAAGTGATGCTTAACGTTTCCGCTGCTCCTGCGACTCGTAATTTTATACAAGCTTTTGTGTGTTCCTTGCAATCCGACACAAGTGTTTGAATTGATTGAATTTGCGAAAATTCCGTCATTCTCGTCGGCTGAAATACAAAATAAAAAAAAAAAAAATTAAAAAAATATTAAAAATGAAATTATTAAAATAAAACTAAATTATTAAAATTCAAAAAGGATTTAATTTTTGTAATTTTATATCTTTAGAATTAAAAAAAAAAAATTGGAAAATTTTTGGCGAATTATAAAAATTAAAAAATAGATTAATAATATTTCGCGTGAATGAATGTCATATTTCGAGTATTTCTTTTTTTTTTTTTTTTTTAATTATTCGAAATTTCGAAACTTACAACAGTGCCTCCTCTGTGAGCCATATAAGAAATTCCAAGGTCGGGACCAATGACTAGTTCCACGGGAATCGACCAACTCGACTAAAATTATAAAGAATAAATTAAACGATTTTGCAAAATTTCTTTAACACATAATTTCAAATAAAAAAAAAAATTATTGACCAACTTTTCCATTAAAATCTATTCATTCATTTCTTTGATTTCAAATATTATTGTAAACTATTGCTCTTCATGTTTCCAAAAAATTATTTTTCCATTTTACATATATTTTTGTACCAAAGAATAAATTTGAATAAAAAAAATATTCAAATGAAGAAAACAATAAAATTTCATTCATTTGAAAGTGGAGAATGATTGAATTTTTTTTTTCTTTTTTTGTAAACTGAAGAGAAAAAAATCGAAAAAGAATTTTATATTTAAAATTTATAATTAATATAAATAAATGAAAATTAATGATTATTTACATAAATTAATAGATATTGTTATTATTAGACGTATAATTTACTCACTCCCAATGCGCAGATAAAGCGTTCCTGATCAAATCGGTAATGCGAACGAAGGAGATCGAAAAATTTAAACATACACTCGAGTTCTGAAAGGGCAGCAACTTTTTTAAAATGCTGCTGTATCAGTTTCCTCAAAGCTTTGGGTTTCATTCCATTTAGTACGGAGCGTGGCAAAAATTTATGTAAACCGACCTGTTTTTAGAAGAAAAAAGAAAATTCATTTCATTATTTTTTTCAAAAAAAAATAGTACAATTAACTTCTTAATTTTATATATAATATAAATAATATTTCTTTGTATATATATATATATATAAGTTTCTTATAATATTATTATAATAATAATCGTACCTCTCGTTCCAAATATTCCAAATTGCTTTTCTTGTCCAAAGCAATTTGTGGCATATCCTTAAAAAAATACCTAATTTCTAAACAACACAATTGAACCGCAACATCTTGATCTAACGTCGAATGATTTGCATTTAAATAGTCGTTTCGAACCTGAAATTGTAAACAAAATATATTCGTTTAAAAAATCGAGACAATTTTATCTATTTCATTACTAAAATCAAAATTAAATGAATAATTGCAAGTAATTGAAATTGTCGTGAAATTTTGATTGAAAGCTTTGAAAATAATTGAATTTTTAAAAAAAGAATTTCATTCAAATTTTTAACAATGCAAATTTGATTATTTAGAATATAATTATTTTAATTTGATTTACTTTTTAAATTATTATTATTATTATAATGTTAAAAAAAAGAGAAAAAAAAAATTGAAATAATATTTATGTGACGTTAAAGATTGTAAAATATATCGATTTATTATTGGAAATTAAAAATTTAGTAAAAAAGTAAATATAAAATAAATATAAATATAAATAAAAAATAATTTAATTAATAATAATAATAATAATAATAATAATAATTAATTTAATTTTTTGATTTATAAATTAAAATAAATTTAGTCAACAAAATTTTTATACTTTTTAATTTCTTAGATATGAATTTTTCTGTATAAGTTTTCGAAAAATTTTAATAATAATAATTTATTTCATTGCATGTTCTTTTCAAGGACCTTTACAATTTCCTTCTTAATACATAAAAAGTCAAATTATATATATTCGAAAAACTTTATTAAAATACAAAAATTAAATTATTAATTATAAATAATATAATAATTTAATTGTGTATTTTTAAAATCAATAATTTTTTTTTTTTTTTTTGAAAACATAAATTGTTAAAATTTAATTCAATTTAAAACTTCAATTATTTTGCAATTGTTCATAAAATAATAGAATATTAATACAATAATTAAATTTTTACAGCAATAAAAAAAAAATGAAAAAATTGGAAATATCTCCTAAAAAAAAAATAAGGTAAAAATTTATTGAAATTAATAAAATATATCAGAGAGACATAAAAAGTTAAAGAATCCAGAGATATTCACGTATAATAATAATAAAAATAAATTAAAATAAGTGAAAAAAATTAATGAAAATAATTTTTTTTTAAAAAATATATATTACCTGATCGTAATAGTAGAAGAAGGTGACTTTATCTTTTTCATAAAGATCATTTAAATTTTGAGGTAGATAGCGCACCCTTAATTCGTACCTCCATTCACTGTGTGGATGTTTCTTTTCATATTTTTCTTGAACCTAAAAATAGCAAGAGATTTTTTTTTATTTAACAAAATAAATAGAAATAAAACATTATGGATTTAAAAATGAAAAATTTCCATAAAATAAAATTTTTTTCAAATTAAAAATTTTCATAAATTAAAATTTTTTTTCAAATTAAAAATTTTCGTAAATTTGAAAATTTCTATAAATTAAAATTTTTCAAATTCAAATTTCAGCAATTTAAAAGAAAAAAAAATCTTTTTTTTTTTTTGGTAATTATTTTTTGAACATAAAATTGAATAATTTATTAACCTGGTACATTGTTGTGTCCTGATGGAGCCAATAACTTTCTCCAGAGCCAGGATGATGAAGTCTCATAGCGTACAGTTGTTTATAATGTCTCGTGCCGACAGCTAATCTACTTGTGACCAGAGAAATAATGCCTTTAACGTCAATAGCATCTCCGAATTTCACTACGTTAAAGCCTCCTGCAAACAAAAAAAAATTTTTTTTTTTTTACGAATTTTAATAAAATTAGTTTTAATAATATAAAATTTGAATATTCGAAAAAAAAATTGTTAAATAAACATATTTTAATTAAAATTTTTTTTAATTAGATTAATTTATATTTAGTTGACAAATTTTATTTAACAAAAGATTTTTTTTTCGTTAAACAGATTTATTTATCTGAATTTTTATTAAATAAAATTTACATTGAATAATTTATTATTTTAAATTAATAATTCCAATTCGAATTTTTCTGCTAATTCAAATATAGATAATTAAAAATAAATAAGGCAAATAAATATTTTGATGAATTAAAATTTTTTTAAATTATTAATTACAATAGAATTAATTCATAATTATAAATAATTTAATTTAAAACTTTTAAATATTTTACGTACATGGAAAAAATATGGTAAATATAAATTTTGCTATAATATGAAAATAAAAAAAAAAAAATTTAATAAAAAAATAGGAAAAAAAATAAGAATTTCTAAAAATAATTATAACGTACCATTTGGTAAATGAACTTTTAATGTTGCTTTATCCATTGGGGTGGGTGACCCATGTGGAGGAGTATTTCGTCCCCCACCCCCTCCTTGAACTCCACCAACTCCACCTCCATCTCCTCCAGTGCTCATCCCCTCATGGCTGGAAATACAAAAAAAAAAAAATTCTTAATGAATTGTAATTAAATACAAATTTTATATTTTTGAAAATATTCCAACAAAATTAAAAACATATTTTTCATCATCATAAAATGTAGAATTTAATATTATTATAATTAGTATTACAATTGTAATTATTATTACAATTATAATTAAAATTTCAATTATAATAATAATTAGGTATTATTATTATTGTAATATTTATTATCAATAATACCTTTTTTTTTTATTAATTCCGTAAAAAAATTTTGTAAAAATTTTTGTTTTTCATTTTTTAGATTATTATAATAATCGTGAAATTTTTTAAATAAGAAATTTATTTAAAATTATTTAATTATTTTTGATGTGTTTATTAAAATTGGCAATTTATAAATGAATGCGGATAAATATAATAATGATAATAATAATGTTGATTATGATTAATATCATTGTTGCGAATAGATAGATGAAAATGATGCAAAAAATTAGTTCTGCAATCTTTTGTTATTGCTCTCGTGATAAAAGCGAAGTCCATGTGGCAATGTTGTATTATAAGGATTTATTGATTATTTCAACAGTTTTGAAATAATAATCCAACAAATATACATAATATATATATATATATATATATATATAATAATTTTCTCTCTTAAGAAATATCTCTTACAATTAGCTATTTATAAATCTATAATAGAAAGTTATGATTAAAAATTTTAATTTTTAATTTTTGTAAAATAGAAAAGAATTCATGTAATTAATTTAATAATTTAATTAATAATAAATAATAAATAGAATGATAATTATTATTAATTATCTATTATTGTAATCATTATTTATTTATTTAAATTATTTTCATTATTTTTTTATTATTATTTTCATTATTATTTTTACTATTATCATTATTATTATTATTATTATTATTATTATTATTATTATTATTAATTATTTTAAAAAATTATTATCAATCATTATGTAAATCTTCAAAAATAAATTTTTTTTCAATTTTTTTTTTGTTTTGCCATTTAATAACAAATAAATTTCAAAGCAACATCCATCGGTTTCTTTTCATAATTTTTTTTTTTTTTTTTTTTAATAAAAGATAAAAGGTTAAAGATCTGATTGGAAGATACCTGTGACATTAAAATAAGAAAGCTAACCAATTGGCAAACTCCAAAGACTCTAGAGATGATAAAATTTCAAATACATATAGGTAATTTTGTATTATACATCAAGTGTAAATTGTCATTATTGAATTTTTTTTAATTTTTTAATTTTTTTGAATCAAAATTATAATATTTATAATCATAAAATGTGGAAAACAATATTTCTCAGTATATTTAAATATTTGTATTTGTTTAGAATTCACTATTATTATTTTCTATAATTATTAAGATTATATGAAAAAGATAGAGAATGAGAGAAACGGCTAAAGACTCACGGCTTTGTCTACTTGCGTAGGCGTTCTTTCAATTATTTGTATACGGGACATTTTACGTGAGTTTTTCATTAAAAAAAAAATTTTTTTTTTTACTTGAACATTTTTTTTTCTAAATTTTTATAAAAAATAAGAAAATAGAGGTATTTTTTTATTTTTTTGATTCGATAAAAATTATGAAAGTTATGATTTTTTTAAATTAAACGTAATTCAGATGCCGAATATTATTGAAATGCATTTTTCTCTGTTCTAATAAGGGATAAAAAATAATATTATATTTTTGTTCAGTTTTTTTTTGAATAATATAGAAAAAAATAACGGAGGCATTAAAATTTTTTTTTTTTTTATATATATTAGTAGGATAGAGAAAAACGCATTTCAAAAGTAATCGGCCTCTGACTTACCGTTAAATTTAAAAAAATCGTAACTTCCACAATTTTTATCAAATCATAAAATAAAAAAATACGTATTTTTTTATTTTTCATAAAAATTTCGAAAAAAAATGTTTCAGTCCAAAAAAAATTTTTTTGGATAAAAATCTCACGTGAAATGCCCCATATGTAGACGAATATTCTTAATAGTTTTTCACTTATTTTTTTGCCATTCATTATGTTTATTAAAAAACATAATTTTATTTCTTTCTAAAAGAAAATGACATTATGATCATTTCTTTTTTTGTCTTAGAAAAACAAGTGAGAAAAATTCACATTTTTAGAATATAATTATACAGACAAAAAAAGAGTGAATTTATTTATTTTTTTTTTTTTATAAAAAAAAAATTGTATTTTGAAATATGAAACATTAATATTTAATTCGAATAACTTATTCTGTTGCATTAATTGGATTACAATAATTATAAATGTGGAAATTATTCCATTTTTGTTGTTTAAGATGGAAAAAAGTCTTCAATACATAAGTGTAGAATATATATGATTATAAAAATTAGTTATTACGTTATTATGACCTTGTTTAACTTTTATTTTAGAGTAAAAAAAAAAATTATAATATTCAAATAATCGGCTACTTGACTATTAACAAATAAATATTTATTTGTATTAAATAATTTTTATTATTTGCGTCAATTAAATGGTATTTTTTCAAATACAGAAATTATTGGTTCAAATAAAATTTATTTTTTATTTATTTAATTCAAATAAAAATTATTTTTTTTTAATTTTTCAAATCAAAATGACTTAAAATTTTGACGATTTTAATAGAAATTTAAAAAAAAATTTTTTTAATAACGGAAAGTGTAGTTTGTATTTTTTTTCAACTTGTCATGCAGTACAACATAATAATTGAAAGAACAAACGTTGGCATTCACACTCTTCGAAGGATATAATTTGTCATGCTTCGTGGCAATTTGTTTGTGTTTTTTTTTTTTTTTTTTGCACCGAAGGACAATGATGCAAAAGTCAGCGCCTCGATGATCTAATAAACACGATTTGATTCGTAATGTTGAATATATATATGGTCCCAGGAAATAAAATTGCAACTTTACGTAAGACTATAATATATAATATATCAGTTTTTCTTAATCCAACATATATTTCAATATGTCTGCGTATGAAAAATCTTATACCAATCATGAATCAGAGGTCATACGTGGTTAATAACATTCATTATATAAAAAAGAAATTACATTTTCAAACTTTAACACTTTAATATTAAAAAAAAAAAAACTCAAGTTATATTCATATTAACTTTATAATTTTTCTTTTGTTAGGAGGAAAAACACAAATACAATTTTCCATGGTTGACTTATTTAGATTAGACCGGAAAATAATAATTGTAATTATTTTTATTACCAACAAACAGCAAAATGTTATATTATTTTTTAGAGTTAAACATATTTTTTTTTATTTTTTTTTTTTTATTTTATACATTGTTTTTAATTTGAGTTTTGGAAAAATCGTTTTCTACTCTAGGGATTAAAAAGATATTTTTGCACTCTAGGGCTAAAATTGGCTATTTTACTCCCTAGGGAATAAAACTATTTTTTAGCTATTTTTTCAACTTTTTTTTTTTACTTAACTAAAAAACATTTTGTATTCTAGGGACGAAAACAACAATTTTTGAACCCTTGGAATAAATATAGGTGAATAAAAAGAAATTTATTAACCCATTAACGCCCATGCTTAGACACATGGAAATATCCTGCACAATCAAAATTGGAAAGAGGACTGCGGTCCAAAAAATGACTTTTGACGTTAAAAATTGTTAAAAAAAAATTTGTTTAAACAAATTGTTATAAACAAATTAACAAAATTGATGAATTTTTAAAAACTAACAGCGCCATTCGATTCTACGGGAAAAATAATTAAAAGAACAAGTATGACTTTTTCAAAATTTTCACGCCATTTGTTATAAATAATTTATAAACAAAAAATGCACTGTGATGCACCCATCAGAGCCCATGCTTAGACACATGGAAATATCCTGCACAATCAAAAGTGGAAAGAGGACTGCGATCCAAACAATGACTTTTGACGTTAAAAATTGTTAAAAAAAATAATTTGTTTAAACAAATTATGTGAACAAATGGCGAGTGAAAATTTCGAAAAAGTCATACTTGTTCTTTTAGTAATTTTTCCCGTAGAATCGAAAATGGCGCTGTTAGTTTTTAAAAATTCAGCAATTCTGTTAAGTTGTTTATAACAATTTGTTTAAATAAATTATTTTTTTTTTAACAATTTTTAACGTCAAAAATCATTTTTTAGACCGCAGTCCTCTTTTCAATTTTGATTGTGCAGATATTTCCATGTGTCTAAGCATGGGCGTTAATGGGTTAATACAAAAATTATGTCAAATAAAAATTCAGTACCTAAAAATTATGTTAAATAAAAATTCAGTACCTAAAAATTATTATGTTAAATAAAATTTCGTTTACAAAGAAAGTAACTCAAATATGTTAATATATAAAAATAAAAATTCCTCTAAAAAGAAATTCATACAAAATTGAAAATTTTAGCTAATGATTTTTATGGGATATTCATGCGCCTCCAATTTCATTAAGAATTTTTCTTAGCCGAATTTTTATTTGTTCAAATTATTACTTTTTAAATAGTACATATTAATGGAATGAATGTAATATAACAAATGTATTTAACATAAATTTAATGAGTGCGGTTTGTATTTACAAAGAAGCAATCGATCTATGATGAGACGATATTAACTATGTGTAATTTGTAATTATGTAACTATATATATATAAATGAGACATTTTTGAAATTATTATATATACATATATATAAATGTGATTTATATGGGCTTGTTTAATTTGTAACAGTTGAATGGTTCACATCGGTAATACGAGACTTGCATAATGCATTTATTATTTTGTTGTATATATATATACCTTCACTTCTATATATACCTTGTCATTCCTTCGTGGTTTCAGAGTAGTAATATGTGCAGTTATATTTCTATATATATATATATAGAGAGAGAGGGACTAGTCCTGTAATTAACGAAGCGTTATGTACCCGACAAGTTTCTTCCTTGAATGCATAATTTTTAGGCGTTATCATCATCTGACTCTCTCGATTATAATTACTGCACTCGCCTAT